TTCATTTGGACTATATTTGGTGTGTGAACATTTGTCAGTGTTGCATGTCATTTGTGCTTGCCATGATTAGATCTGTGCCATCCCTCTTGCGCTATTGATAGGAGCGGTAGCAAGGATTGTACAAAACCGTTGTGGGAAACACGAGTTGGTTGATAATTATATTGGCTTCTCAAAGTTATATCAAACTCGTGCATAATTTGGTTCATTTTATTTGTATTATTTTGACTCAGTGAGTTGTAAGTTGAATGTGTTGTAATTAAGCAAAGCTCGTCATTGTAAAGTTGTGATTGAAAGTTATTTGCTGGAAGCGAATTGTACTCCTGTTGTACCTGTTTTGTAGTGATTGTAGGGATTTCTTCAAGGTTCTATAAGCCATTTTTGTTAATTATTGAGATACAGTTGATTTTTTTAAAATTTTTACACCTTAAGTGGAGGGATTTCTTCAAGGTTCTGTAAGCAATTTTTGTGAATTATTGAGTTATAGTTGAAATTTTTTTAATTTCTGCACCTTAAGTGGAGTACTTGGTGCTACTTCAATTGTTATCAAAAGAGAGGTGTTTTTTAGAGTTATAGAGTTGTGCACTAGAGTTTGATATGGCTGCTGAAGGGATTTTGACTGATTTGTTTAAAGATGAGAAGTTTCACGGCACAAATTACTTTGAAGGGAAAAGGAAAGTAGGGTATGTGTTACATGATGAGGATCTTGTTCCTCTCGTCGCCGAGGCTCCTTCAAGTGAGCCCAAAGGTAATGCGGCTCAGGCCACTCTAGATGCTTTTGCCACTTGGGTCTCTAAAAATCGCATTGCCATAAACATTTTATTTGCCACAATGACTGAAACATATGTGAGAGGATATAAGGTGTGTTGGACAGCAAAAGAGATAATGGATAGGTTCAAGAAGGTGTACGACACGCCTTCCCAAAATCGCAAAGGACTTGTTATGAAGTGATTACTGGATTTCCGCATGCCAGAACATTGCAAGGTCAGTGAGCATGTACGCAATTTCAAGCTTATGTTCTATGAGTTGGACGCAGTGGGATGCCCTTTGATGCTCCTACCTAGACCACCTTGTTGGTCTTGTGGGACGTGTTCACGACAAATCTGGTGTCTCATGAGACACCGTTGGCATTTGATGAGATTGTGTATTTTCTGGAGGTCGAAGAGGAGAGATGGACGATGCGAATGGATGGACCAACGACAATGGTCCATGGGGTAAATTCTAATCCTCCTCCTTTTAATATGCATTTCATGGGTGCTGTGAACGTAGTTGACCCCACCGGGGCTAGTTCTGCCACAACGACATACTACATTAATGGAAATAGAAAAGGAAAAGGGAAATTTAAAGGGAAGGTTAAATATTATAAGGGGAATCCGCATAGCAACTCCAAGGGAAAGAAGCCATATAACGGACCTTCGCCTCCTCCACCTAAGGGTCCATATGATGGGAGAAAAGATAAAAGTTTGCGAAATGGGAACCAAAATAATGCTCCTCAACCTGGTAGAAAGGATTTGTCTACTAAGCATTTTAGATGCAAAATGTTTAGGCATACTATGAAATTATGTAGAAATCCTCCATCTATTTCTCCACTTCCACAAAACCCTGGATGTGCTCCAAAAGGAGAGAGAATTTGCATGGTAATTGAAGCTATGATAGCAAGTGATGGGACAAATGCATGGTGCCTGGACTCTGGGGCAACCGTGCAAGTCACTAGCCAGGAAGTTGGTTTCCGAACCTTTAAAGAACTTAAACCGGGACCATGCAAGATTTACGTAGGAGGAAATCAAGAAGAACCAGTTTTAGGAATTGGGGATTATGTTAAACTATAGAATGGTGAAACCCTAGTCCTTAGGGGTACTCTCTATGCACTTGGAATGCATAAAAGACGTATCTCTTTCTCTAAACTCTCTTCTATCGGTTATCCAACTCTGTTCATGGGAAACCCTATTTATGTCTACGACAGAACCGAGCAGTCCAGTTATCTTTGTAGCCCACCTGGCAAATGGTCTCGTCACAGTTCAAATCAAATCTGCTGTTACTTATGTCTTGGAGCCTCAAAATGATTTTATGCTATGGCATCTCAGATTAGGTCACATGGGCAATGCAAGGATCAGTGTTTCAAAAAGTGCTAGGCGGCACCTAGGCGGTCGGGGGGTCCAGGCCGCCGAGCGCCTAGGTGCCCTCCCAGAACCTGGGCGGCCTAATATTAAGTTTTTTTTTGGGGGTTTTCTCTATCTAAAATAGTCTCTAATGGATTTTTGATTTCAAATGAACCTAAAACCCACAATTTTTCCCCTTTAGTATTAAAAAATAACCCAAAAATACCCTCAAGGAGCCGCATTTTCGCCTCTGGGCGGCTGTCCGGGCGAGCGCCTAGGTGGGTTCCCGGACGCTTAGGGATATCCTCCTAGTTTGGCCGCCTAGGCTTGGGAGATCCGCCCAGGCCTTCTGGACCGCCTAGGCGTTGGGCGGTCCGCTTTTTAAAACTATGGCAAGGATGGAAAGACTTCAGAGCGATGGTTTTTTTTAAACCATGGACAATGATTTCCAAACTACGTGTGAGGGATGTTTACAAGGGAAAATGACTAAGACATCTCATAGAAAGCTCCAAAGAGTTACTCGGATTTTAGAGTTAGTACACTCAGATATTTGTGGACCCATGAGTGTTGCAACTAAAGACACATGAGATATTTTGTCACCTTTATGGATGACTTCTCCAGATATAGTCATACCTACTCACCAGAAAAGTGAAGCATTAGAAAAGTTCATGATGTATAAGGCGGAAGTAAAAAACCAGACTGGGCAACATATCAAAAACTTAAGATCTGATAGAGGTGGTGAGTACACATCCCACCTATTCAATAATTATTACATAGAACATGGGATAGTCAAACAAACCACAATGCCCTATTCACCTGAACAAAACAGGGTCGCCGAAAGAAGGAACAAAACCTTGATTGAGATGGTTAGGAGCATGATGGGTACTGCAAAATTATCTTTGGATTTCTGGGGTGAGGCGGTGCTTACCGCCACATACATCCTAAATAGAACTCCTACTAAAGCAGTCCCTGAGAATCCATATCAACTCTATATGGGAAAACCTCCATCTATCGGTCACCTCAAAGTTTGGTTGTTCAGCCCATGTCCTAGTTCCTTCCCAAAACTGAACCAAATTGGACCCCAAGACTATTAAGTGTGTTTTCGTAGGGTACCCAAATCATGGTACAGGCTATAGATTCTATGACTTGTCTTTTGGGAAGGTCATTTAGAGTCTAGATGAACATTTTCTTGAAGATGAATTCCTGGAAGGGAAGGTGATCCATAAGAAGGCTGATTTCTATGAGATTAGGGTTCAAGAACCTCCAACCCAGCCTATAACCTAGCTTAGGAGAAGTATTAAAATTAGAAGGCCACCTGAATTTTTCACCTATTTAGGAGATGTCTATGAGAGAGTCAGTGAAGAAAGTGATGAACCGGCTTCCTATGAGGAAGCCATGAGGTGTCCAGAACACAAGCAATGGCTGGGAGCCATGGAGGATGAAATGAAATCAATTAATGACAACAAAGTATGGGAACTAGTTTATCGTCCTCCGAATTGCAAGCGATCGAATCAAAATGTCTGTTCAAGAAGATATTAAATTCTGAGGGGCGGCTTGAAAAATAAAAGGCTAGACTAGTAGCCAGAGGATACACCCAAAAGGAATAGACAACTAAGATTAGCTGCTTTAGCCCTTGATAAAGCAGAATAGCGGACCAGGATTCGTGTAGCCGACCCCAAATAGTGGGGAAAAGGCTCTGATGATAATGATGAGCGGATGGGGGTTCCCTTTGGTTTCTCCAGCTTAATTTATGTTAAAATTTCAATAGCATCTGTAGGAGGAAGCTGTTGAACCATTGTGGATTTACAATTTGTCTTTATCAGTTCTAGTCCTTGTTATTGTCCTCAATAATATCCCAAATATTATTCCCATAATTGCAACTGTCTTAAACTTCAACCCTTTAGAATCTGTTCACCTCACATCCTCTGGTTCCAATGTGCTAACTACTTGCTAAGAAAGCTGCCCACCATAGTATAATGCACATGCTTGTAGCCCCACAAACCTGCAAAAACATGGAATATATCGGGCATATCATTTATAGCAGTGAATGCTTAAATGGCCTCCATTTTTATTGCCTCGGCACAAATTTGGCTGTTTCCTATTTTAATAGATGGTCAATGATAAAATTTTGTTTCTGGAGCTAATTGAAGCTTGTAACTAGGGTCTTTCTATGCCTACTGTGGCAATTTTAGTTCATCTTTGGCAAATTTTGAAAGTTGCTGTTATTCTAGAGATCTGAGGATTTTTCTGTTTTAATAAGTTATCTGGTTTGATTTTTCTTTTTGGTTTGGGTCATTTGAGCATATTTTCCTTTCACTACTAGGTGTAGCTTCCTATATAAAGTTGGTTTGATTCATACGCATAGAGTACCGGGAAGTTCATGTTTCTTATTATGGATGGATACGACATCACAATCTTAACTAGTATCAAGAAACTCAGAAATATAGAGGTTAAGCAGCTTACAGAACCCTAGTTTGCATATCATTAGAAGTTTAATGGGCACAATTTTCTTCCCTGGTCACGTTATGCAACTATGTTATCATTTGGAAGATATAAGGTTATGTCCAATTGGATCCTGATGCAATTAAATTTAAAGAATGGTAGGCAAATAATGTGCTGATTATGTCCAAGTGCTTAATCAATAGAGCATTCCCATGAACATCAAGAACTAGTTATTTAAAAATATGCTTAATGAAGTCTAGGAAAACGGGTTAGATAATTGGTTTATATATTAAACCAATGTCTTTAGGTTCCTCTTGTTATTTGTGGGTATGCTTCGAACTTCCCTAGGGGTGAAATATCATGATATAACACCCTACATACAATTTCAATTAACTACAGTATATAGGAACTAAATTGTTATGTGGTATGTTTCAATTATCTAACTCTGCCTGATATTTACAGATGATACATAGATTGAATTGGATGGCAGATCGATCAGAGAAAGGCTTCCATCAAAGTGGAGGCATCATGGTAAATTATTTGTACAGGTGATTACGTGACTTGGCTTTTGAAATTAAATCATACCATTCTTCCAAGATTAACAGCTTTGTTTTTCAGGCCTGGTGAAATTGAAGAGAATGCGCAGTTATATTTTAACTCGGGCCATATTCAAGCTTCCCCTGACATTCAACGCTATCTTGAGTTGGATACTCACTCAAGGATTTGATCTTGTGGATGTTTTTGCTTGTTTTTCCCTAAAACCTAAATGTTCTTCATTATTAAAAATGTTTTGTGCAATTTTTACGTGACAGGGTATCAACAATAGCCATCCATCAAAACATCGTGTAATTATTGTGATTGTTGTAAGATTGTTTCATAATTTGTAAAGTAAAAGTGAAGGCATTATGTACGTACGAGTTCTCTCGAGTTCAGTTTTAGATAGATCTTGGCATGTTGCAACTAGTTTATGTTTTTTTCATCCCAATAGCTAGATTAATTTTACAATTAAGATAATGGTATCCTTTCAATTGCTTGTCTTTATTAATCCAGAACTTGGCCTCTGTGCAAAGATCTTGTTCTGTATGGGGTGCGAGTATATTTAAGCCAGAGACAATCTTATTAGATAAAAAATGGCGACTAATGTATGCCATTCATCTTGCCATGAATGTGTTTCTTTTTCAAACTGCTTTGGTGGGTCAGCGGTGGTACTAAAAAGTTGAAATGGTGATGCAAGCTTTATATAT